GACAAGAAGTTTGTCTGTAGGGTTTCTGACACTTTACTGAAGGTTCCACAGAAAAGATCCTTCTGCACAGAGTTCTCTGCACAGATGCACTGAGGCAAAAAGAAAACACAAAACTAATAGAGTTGAGTTGCACTGCAGATGGTTTTCTGAATCCAAGTGCTAGAGCTGTGAATAGCAAGCAGCACTCAGGCACTAGATCCAAGGAATACTGCACTTTCCCTTGTTATCCTTCAAAAATTTTTGGAAAGCTCAGAACATCTGGGTTTTTTTGGCTGTGAACTCCCATCTGAAAAGTAGCAGGCATGTTTCTGAGAAGGATAGGACAGGACAGTGCCTGGTTGCTGTGGCCGCTACTATAGGGACACAAAACCTCCCTATCACATCTCACAGGCCTTTTGCTGATCCTGTGGATAGTAATGCTCTTCTGCTCAGGAAAATGAGCAAACTCTTTCAATTGCTCCTCCCTTCCCAAGAGCCACTCTAATCACCATAACGACAACGAGGAAGCCCTAGAAGAATAAGGATTTTATTACAAACCTGTTATAAATCCCTACAAGTCTTCTGAGCTGCTTTATCCACATTTAAAGCCCCTTATTGGTGTAAGGGCATCCCAGCACAGCAGTTGTGTTGCTACACTCACTGAGTTTGAAGCTGGCAAGACTCAAGCTGGGAATCCACAAATGCAGGCACTTTGCCTGATACACAATCTGCCTATTCAGAAGATGATGGTAAATGTGTCTCTTCTCTCTGACTCTCCAATAACCAGTTGTCCCCAATACCACTCCTTGCAAGTCCTGTTGTATCACCTTATAGGTATGAGTTCCAAGCACACAATGAGATGATTCACAAAGATCAGAGAGAAAAATCTTAATTCAGATTTATTTTGCTGAGCTTTAAGCTTTTATTCTATATTAATGGGTCATTTTAGAAATAGCCTTAATTTTCACCATTTGAAGATGAAAAATAGATGAAGGGTAGTCATAGTCATGAATACTTTGAATAATAAAGGACTCATATGGTTACATAGCACTGTTATTAGTTAATATTCAGAACAGGCAAAACTGCCCACCAGTTGTAACGACTGATGAACAAAAGATAATGACGATTTATTTGATTGATATATAATGCTGTATTAAAAGAAGGAATAGAGTAGAGTTAGATTAAGAATTTGTACCCCATAAGAAATCCAGCATTTGTCTTTGTCCTAAATTTGGATGAAAGGATTAGTTAGAATTTCCATGGTACAGAAATTCAAAAAGTTTTCATTCAGAAACATCCAAAACATGTAATCTTTCATGTAACAGACCCGTTCCATTACATTCAACTAATATGAAATTCTTGGTTTCAAATCAGACCTCTCTTAAGCACCAATAGCAGCACACTTCAAGATGCTCGAAACTCAGATTCTCTCCTATCCTCACTAGATTTCATCTTCCACAATATTCACAAAGTCAGGGGATGCCCATAGCACGTGTTTTTATGGAGGACACTCTCATCATGGAGATAAATGCAGACTGCCACTAGAATATAATGGGGATCCAAAGCACAGTTGCCACAAAATACAATGATAGAGAAATAGGATTAAAATTTTGTCAGACAGCCTACGTGACTGAGAAGGCTTCAAGTCAGTTCAGAATTTCTGACTCTGCCTCAAAGCATGGGAAGTCCAGCCCTGGGGTTCAAAATAACATGTTCAGAGAGAAAGGCCTGCAGCCCAGTGGCATGTGCTGTCACCTCACCTCAGGTTTTCACCTTTCCATCTCAAGCATTGCCAGTGCTGCAAAGTGGAAATGACACACAGGTTTCCAGGCCTTGATCCTTCTCTTGGGCCATGTAACACAACATGAGAGAGGTCACAGGTGTGACTCCCCCATAACCTGTGGGACAGGTTAGGATCTGTTGTGTGATCCTGGCTTAGTTCAGCAAAACCAAACACTCCAATTCAGCTTGAAGTGAATCAACATTTTGGATTTTCCTGACTTCTTTTTTTCTCCTATCATCAAAATTTTCCTTGGGGAAATCCAACTTCATAAAAATTCTGCTTTTATTTGGAAAAATCCTACTGGTGGAAAACTCCCACATAGCAATAGTAGTGACCTCAGAGATAACCAGCCATGTCCATGCTGGCTTTCAGCCTACCTTCTCCCCATCACTTGAAAAGCAACAGCCCTCCTGCTGTCCAGGACAGCTTGGCCTTACCTGGCTAAGGGGAAAAGTGAGTTGCAGAGCTGTCAGGCTCGAAAAAGTTCTTCCCACTGCTGTAGCAGCCACAGGGGGAGTGGAGAGGCTATTGCAGGATCCTCCTGCCTCAAGACATGCAGGTTTTACATGAGTTAATGCAGCTAAAAAACCCAATGGGTAGACTGGGGTCATTTGTAGCAGTGGAGGAGGGTAGCTGGAGGGGGCACTTAGCGTGAAGCTCTGCTTCATGACCAGGGGTATCTAGATAGGGCTGCGGTAGTCTAATCATCCAGGACAGATTTAGACCCATTTTGTAACAGCATGCACACCTATTACTTAATAAAGTTACCAAATGTAGATTTGCAGATTAAGTACTCTCATAATAGTCACTACTGTTTCATCTTCCAATACTCAAGCACAGAGAAGTCAAGTTGCTGGTCCAAGACCACAAAAGCCTGATGATGAATTTACCTACTGCATCTCCTGAGCACCTGGGAAATCCCAGGATTATAGCTCCATCTCTGTGCTCAAACCATTGGGTCAACACCATTCCCAGGTATCAGAATCGTGGCAAGTCTTTTGATACTAGCAGGGAATGCAATTGTATAACATACACATCTGCATGCTTTCTGCACACCTACATTGATGTTTGGCAGCCTGGACGAAGATATTCCCACTTCTTCTGTTAGATGCTTAACACATCTACTGAATATAATAGAGTTGCAGGATGAACACCTTTTGGAAATGCGTTTGCCACTCGCCGTCCCTTTTATGTGATCCTTTAACCCTTTTCCCCTGCATACCCAGGGCTGTGCTTGGATATTGCATGCACTGCAGCAGAGCCTTGGGAACGATGCGTTTTCTTGACTCAACTAAATTCTGCAGCCCTATTTGCTGCCCACTCCCCTGGGCTCAGTCTTCAGCTCCATAGCTGAAACTGCTCACCCTCTGGCACAGCACACTCAACTCTCCCACTCTTGGAAATAAATGCATTTTGGTGCCTCAGTCGCCAGCCCAAGCTGATGACAGGGTGAGAGAAATCTCCACTTATTCCTTTCCCCCATTTGTTACACGTTAACAGGCAGTCAATTAGGGAACCACAAGGAGAATATAGCTGTGCCGGGGAGAGGGGGTTGGAAGGAAGGACTCTCCCTTCTTGGGTTTAAGTCAGCTGATGTATCACCCAGGCTGATACAGGCTGCAGGTACTGCCACCCTGCATCATTTTTTTTTATTTTCTCTGAAAACTCTTCAAAAGTTCCTAGGTCTTTTTCTCTCTCTCCAGATGAGGCCTCTCTTCTGCTCTGCCACAGAGGTGCTCCAGTATTGCTCCCATGAGGGGTTAGTTTTTCAGTCTCTTCCTATATAAGGAGCCCTTAGGGCTTTAATTCAGAGTACTACCCTGTCCCTCCTATGGCACCTGAATGTGCCAAAACAAAACACTGGGAATGGGTCCAAGTGGGGAATGGTCCGAAGGAGGGACAGAGTTGGTGCTGACAGTCAGAAGTGCAAGTAAAAGTTCATATTCAATCATAGGAGATTCAGCAATGACAAATCACAGAAACCTTGCCAGGGAACAGGCCAATGCCCTAAAGATGGCCATGCTTTCCACACAGCATAATAAAAGAGGAAGAGTCAGTGGGGCAATACAGAGTGATTATTTCCACAGCTGGATAATAGTAAGCAGAGACATCTAGAATCTAAGGAATTAAGCTAGAAATAGCAAATTCTGCAGAAACCTGGGCTGAACTGCACTCTGTACTGCTCTGTACACTCCAGAGTTGAGCATCCCCAGTGACAGCGTGTAATCAGGCCCATTCAATGAACAAAAATAAAATGAATGCTCTCCCCATATATGCATTTCTTTCATTTCACAGGAGACAAGGAAGTGTTGGTGTGGTGGACTGACCCCAGCCAATAGCCAAGTACACACACAGCTGCTTGCTCACTGGACATCTGTCTCCAGTCAACCCTCCATGGTTGGGTGAACTTAATACGCTTTCCACTGGAAGGTGAATTATCCTGACCTTTTTCCAGTTAGACAGTGTTGGAAGTAAAAGGAGCATCTGTACATCCAGGCATGTTTCCTCACACAGGGCCTGCTTGTGTAAGTACACCCAAGCATCCATCAATATTGGAGCTTGCCTGGATGCACTCCCACTTTCGGCTATACTGTTGTACCTGCATGTCTGCACATCGGCAGCTTACCTTTGGCAGTCAGGACACAGCCTTACGCCTCATACGTGAATTGTACATGCAGGAGCAATGCACTGCTTTTCATCTGCATATGATTTGAGGCGAGGTCTGTATGGAGTCCATGGCTACAAATTAAGACTGGCAGGACAGAGTGAGAACCTCTCTACTCCTTTAACGATGGCATTTTCATCTCAAGGTGCAGACATCTTTAAAGCGATGCCATCTCTTCAAATGGGCCTTAAAAACACCTTCAGAGTGCAAAATTTCCTTTCCAGGCCTCACTCCTCTAGCAGCCCCATTATCAGGGTATCAGTGCCACTAGCGGAGGCAGGAAGATCCACTAGGCCAGATACCCAGATCTGGTAGCCAGCCAGGCTAGGAACTTGGCAAAGGTTCCTACCACCACAAAGCCTAACTTCATGTCCAGGTTGATTTGGAAGGACCAGAGCTGAGCAGGAGGAGAGAGCAAGCGTACAAAAGAATGAAGGGTTAAGTGCATTGCATTTACCCTCCCTTTCCCCCTTTTATATGACATGGAAACACTGCAGTCTCAGCAAAGTCTGGGGCTGCCTCCCTTTTTTGCTATGGAGTGAATGTCTCAGTTTCCCTCCCTTCCCACCATACCTTGAATAGTCCTCTTGAAGAAGGCTTTGCATGCCTCACAAGAAGCCACGCCGTAGTGGTACCCAGAAGCAATGTCCCCGCACACCAGGCACAGCCGCTTGGGGATTGCATTGAGCATGTACTCGCACTTGGTGGGCGAGTCCTCCATGATGGCGCTGGCACAGTCGTCGTAACGTTTACGGCAGGGTCACCCAACAATGAACATACCATTAGAAAATTACCATTGAACATGGGGGGCGAGTCTAGGCCATTGGGGTGGCCACCCATGGCGATGCCGTAGCCACCGCTAGCGTCGGAGGAGCCGCTTGGGCTGTGATGGCTGATGGCGTCGATGCCAGAAGATGGGCTGGAGGGCTCAGTCTTGATGAAGGACCCACAGCTGGAGGCGAGGTGCCGCTCCTCTGTGGCCATTCTGCCGAGCAGCCTGCAGGGAGAGAGCAAAGGCACTCAGTGGCCTCCTGGCCAAATCCAGCTCCAGGCTGGTCAAAAGAGAGCCCTCCTTTCCCCACCTCAGTTCAATTCCAGTTGGTTTAGGCAGTTCAACCCCACCCAGGTCCTCCTCCTTCAGGAATATTAGTACAACTCACTAAAAACAGCCCACCTACTCCCCACAAACTCACACTACAATAAAGACAAGGCTATTCATGTAGATCATAATTTCAGGCTATTCACAGGCTGCAGTGCTGGAAAGGGGCATCAGTGCTGATGAGGCACAACCTACCCAGAGCACTGTCTGCCCCTGGGACAGCAGAAAGAAATAAGCCTGTCTGTGGCAGGCCAGGTGAAAAAGACCTTTGGTTAGTTCAGGATGTGCTGCCCTGGCTCTAAGCAAAAAGTTCACTAGCAGACGCCGCAGAAAGGACCTGCTCAGATTGGATTTTTATTTGTAATACAGAAGTCTTTGATTAATTTTCATGTTGGATTCTTTCCCCACCGCTTCACTATCATCACTAAAAGGGGAGCTTAGAAACTGAAGGAAAATCATCTGATCAAAAGTTTCCTCCAGCTTAATCTTAAATCTTAATCTTTCTTCTATTTACTAGTATGGAGGTTTTCCATGGAGACACTTCTCTTAAATTCCCACTTCTTAGAGAGAGTGTTATGCTCTTAAATATGTGGAAAGGACTGCATCTTTAGAAATCTGCAAGCTCTTCTAATTTAATTTAGTCACAGATAGTCTTACTTCTTATATAAATGTTCGATCTTTTTTTAGAGCACTGCTAATTTTTATGATATCTTACGGCAAGGAGTTCCAGGGATTACCTGTGCAGTATATGAACAAACAAAAAAATCCCACTTTTATTTGCCTATACTGTATTAGCAGCCTTTCATGCTCCCTGGACATCTCCTGACCCTCCTTCTCAGGAAATGTTCTTTCGCCATGTTCTCCTCATTCAGCTCTTCATTACCTATATAATTGTTCTTCACGCAGAAGTTTTTGCAGACCTCTTATCTGCTTCATCATCCATCTCTGAACTTCCTCTTGTCTGGCTATTTCTGTTCAGTCCAGAACAGAGTTCAATGAGCCAGCTCCTTAGCAGCGTGAAACTGGCACCGCTCCATCGCTTCTCCAGTGAAAGGTCTGGACAGTAGTCAAGACAAAGGCACGCCATCAATTACCTACTGACGTTACCATATTTTCAATGTTATTTTCAGCCTATCTAACTCCTTACATTGTTTGCTTTTTTTTTCCTCTTTAAATTAAAACCTAAATTGTTACCATTTCTTCAACAGAGAATATCAGCAAGTTACTTATTGCAATCCTCAGATCTTTTCCTGAGTTGCTACAGTTAATTTAGAATCCATTAAGAAGTATGAAAAATCAAATTAATGCCTTCTGGTGTGCAATATTTTGCAATAGTCAACAGTGTATTTCATCTACCACTGCGCTGTCCATGCACCCAGCTTTATTAGGATCCTCTGGAGCTCTTCAGTCTTCCTTGATAATTTGATGTCATCTGCACAGTCTCATTGTTCACCCACTTCCCAGATCATTAACACATGGATCAAACACCACAACACTGATCGTTGTGGGTGATTCGTGTTAACCTTTATCATGCTGAAAATTGACTTTTCTTTCTTTTCTGGGCAGGGTATGTCTACCCTTTCTTTTCTGTCTCAGACACTTTTTAATTGATAATAGTATTAACCTGAGAGGTTAACTTTTCCCTTCAGCAAGATAATTTGTCAAAGGCTTTTAAGAAAACCTAAATACATTCATTTTCCTGATGACATGTCCAAAGAATTCTGACTGACTGGGGATTCTTGACTTTTCTTCTTGGAAGCTCTGCTGGTTTAAAGTTACCATACCATGGTCATGTGGGTAGTTTCTATTTCAGTTTCAGCCTATTTACCTGGTATTTGTGGCAACTCCTTCTGCCAGGAGGTCAAACCCGTCAGGGGACAGGACAAAACATTCTGTGATACAGCAAGGCTGGAGTGCACACATATATATATCTCTCTCACATCTGTGTGTCTTTTGATATAAATGCACGTTTGATATGCAGCAGCTTCACAGTGCTGCATCCTTATGATCTCATTTGACAAAAGTATCTCCTAATTTTCCCTTCTCTATTTCATCCTCGATGTTTGACCTCATCTCCTATCTCTGGAATCGATCAGCCAAGTTTGTTATTTGGCAAGACTGTTGACCTTGAGAGTATGGGCAGGCATCTCACGTTCCTCAGCTGCTTTGCCTGGTGTTACTTGAGAGGAATCAAGAGTTTGGTCCCTCTTGGAGACAGTGTGATGAGTTGATGAATGCCCATGCTTTGCCCAGAAGGTCACACTGAACTAGAGGCCATGGAGCAGTAGCAGAAATAATTGCTGCAGGTGCATTCATCTTTAATCCCGCAGGGCACCTAGATGGATTGCAGATCTCCTAGTGTAATGCCAGCTAACTGTGTGGAGGAAGATGAAGCTTTGCTATCTGAGACCAGATCTTAGCATCTCACAGCAAAGCTGAAGGCTGCTGTGCTGGCCAGATTCTGGAACCTTTCACTACCTGAGAAGTGTGTTTGTAGTAAAATCTAAAGATCACTGGGCACAGTAACATGAGATTAGGGACAAAATGGAAGGCAAAACCATCTCCAAAGACTAACTCACTTCTCAACTCACAACCTCAATTAAGGAGCCTTCCTCCCCAAGACAGGCAAACAGTGACTGTCTGATGGCAAATTAAGGATAGCAACAAACCCCCTACATCCTTACAGCTGAGGACGCTCCTGTTCTCTTCCAGGAGACAGTAATACGTAGGGAGTTCTGGTTAGATGTGAACACACGCTTTAGAGGCAAAAGTCCTTTAACACCAAGACAGATCAAAGATCATAGCTAAGGCAACTCCAGCCATTCCAGAGCCTGTGCTTTGCTTTTCTGGACTCTGGAACAACTTGCATAGTTGATTACTGCTGGCCAGCACACACTGAGTTAAGCCTCACTAGCTCTGATTTTCTGCAAGTCTCATGGAGATCCCGTGGTGATTTTTAAACAGACTCAGAGTGTCCCCTGGCAATGAAATACAACATCTTGAACTTCAACAAGAACAGCTAAATGTTTTTTGCAAAGAGTTCAAAGTGATGAACAGCCATTTTGCTCAGCTCTAGTTACCTTAATAGGAAAGTAAAAGGAGAGAGACTTGATCCAACTCTCCTCCTTGCTGGCACAGGAAACTCTGTTACTATTTCTGTGCCCATGTAACAGGCTTAGAGGTTCTAAACATTTCGTTCTTTTCACCTTTCCTCATCACAGTTCATTCCCTCTAATCCCTTCAGCATCTTTGTAGCCCTTCTCTGGATTTGTTCCAACTTGCCTGGGTCTCTCTTGCAGCAAGGTGCCCCGAATCGCACCGTGCGGTGCCACAGCAGTACAGGGGAGAGTCACTCTGGAAAGCACACAGCCGGGCAGACATATGGAGCAACTGAGCAGTAGTTTTGCTAGACATCAGGTTGCACATCAGCTCACATAATTTGATAGGCACTGTCTCACTGGGACCTCTCTGACCATAAGCTGCTTTTGCCACCGTGCTCTGCCCAACATAAAATTTGGAGATTCTCCTTGTTCCAAAGTAGATCCATTATCATCCTTAAACCACACACTCCTAATTGCCACTTGTTTTAACAAAGTCTGTTAATAGTAATTTTTTTCAGCCTAGCTCTTCTTTTTTCTGCTGTGATTTTTTTTCTAGCATCTTTCAGGTCTGTCAACTGTAAATTTGAGAACTATGCCTTTTACATTTTCTTCCAGATCACTAATGAATATTTAAAACCAAAACACTGCCCTTTTGGACACCACCTTTGCAGAAGGATAAAGAATGTCTCTAACCCTTCTGTTTACACTCTGTCAGCTAATCCATGATTCATTTCACAGGATTTGTATCAAAACCAATTTGATCTAATTTCCCTAATAAGATCTTGCACAGCTTTGTGTTCAAAAGCCCACACATGGTCCAGAGACAGTCTATCCACTGCATTCCTTTTGCCCACTAATTATCTAATTGTATCAAGAAAGGTTACTGTCTGCTGTATTCCTGTTTCATAAACCCACTGCTGTTTATCACTAACGATGTTGTTAGCCTTTACGTGCCTGTAACTGCCCTCAGACAAACATGCTCCAATCTCAGTGATTCAAGATGTAAATACACAGGTTTAGACCAAGTTGAGATTGCGCTTTAGGTTTTTATTCATTAGTGTTCTCTCCCTCGGGCAGGGTTAATGTTACAACAGGGTTAATGTTGGGTCAATGTTACAAGTTTTTCCAATTCTTCTCCAGCCTTTCATCTTTTGCTGTTTCTCTACAATGGCTGGACTGCTTATGAGTTTAATGCTCTCTTGAGAACAGCAGCAGTGATAAGAGAGGGAAATACTGCTAAATAGACAGGACCAGAAAGGGACAAAAGATTAGTGTTATAAAATCAAGGCAGTAAATATTGCCCCCATTTTTTTTTTCTTTTAAACTCCAAGGATTACAAGTTCAGGATCGATGCAGATAAGGCTATTTTATTGCACATCCTTTGAGGTTATTTTTGCCAGAAAGAGTCATTTGTAGCTATGTTCACCTCTTTACCCCACTTCTGGATATGAAAATTACAGGAATTCAGTACTCTTTGTCTACAAGTTTTCACCTGACTCAAGAGAAAGCAAGGCCCACCACTCACACCTACTTAGCAAGACAAACAGAACAGTGTCCACCTTTGTAACAGAAGGTAACTTTCCTCCACCAGAATAATTCTCTATCGGCAAAAGGTATCCACAGTTTAGTGACTTAATACCATCTGAACATCTAAGTGCTGATGCAAACCCAAGTATTTGACCCTGTACCTTCTCCATGCAGCACTCCCTATTCCAAATTGGATCAAGGCAAGTTCAGAGGCAACACTCCTGAGCTTCTTTAGTGGCTGATGCTCATTATGTGATCTTCAA